TGCTTCGTCCTGGACGTGAAAAAGGCATACGACACCGTATGGAGAAATGTGCTGTGGAAACAACTGTCCAAATACGGGATCAAGGGGAATCTGTGGAGAGTGCTGAAGAAGATGACAGAGTGTACGAAAAGCGCGGTCATGCTAGACGGAGAACTGTCAAAATTCTTCGACATTGAGCAGGGGGTCCCACAAGGTTGCACGCTGTCCCCAACATTGTTCCAGGTGTTCATCAACGATCTGTTGGAAGTCGTAGAGGCAGTCCGGAAGGGAGTAAAAGTAGGGGACACGGAAACGTCGGTTTCAGGAATGCTGTTTACGGATGATTTTGTCGGTAAAGTGGTAATTGTCAAGGACCCGATTTCGGTTGCCCCTCCATAACTTTTGACTGAGATCGAATAAGAAAAAAAAGAGGCAGTTTTGGAACGCCCGCAGCAAGGCGCAAAAGAGTAGCGAGTCACTAGAAAAAATAAGCAAAAAAAAAGTGCTCGCGGCGGGTCTCGAACCCTCGACCTAGGCCCTGGAGCAGCTTTTCACCCATATAATTTCTTACAGCGGATTATTATTTTTCTCGCCAAACCACCTACAAGTGTACCGGAAGACCCCCAACCACTTCACAAATGCCTCTGCCCCGCCTATAGCGTGTTTATATCACCCGCCAACGTACTTCCGTTGTAAATATTGCCTATTTTCAACAAAACCATCCTTTTATTGTACAACATTCCGTCCAGAAAACTTGGGGAAAAAACTGAAAAAGTTCACCTCAACGAACAAGAATGCGCCATCCATCTACTGTCTCCATTCCTTCGGGGTCGGGCGCCTGTGTGACTTGTATTTCTTGTACGTCTTCTTGCCTTCAGGCCCTTCCACACGCGTCTCGCGGTACATGAGGGCGTGTGTGTATGCCTGCTTGCAGTAGCCCTGGACTACCGGAACAGCCTGCCTATCCTTCTCTGCTCTAAACCTTAGCGGCACGTTATTGCGCAAGCATTCCAACGAATACGTGCAATTCTTGCGAGTCCAGTCCTTCGCCCGCCCCCAAACAAGTTCGATGGGGTTACACTCGCAGTGGTACCTAGGAAGCATAAGATAGCCCCCCCCGTGGCGCTGCATTAACAGCACCAGACTAGAATCAACTTCCTTGAAGTCTTTCTGCTCTCCTAGAACGTGCTCCATGCTCTTGCTGAGGTCCTGCTTTTCGCCTGAGCCCCCGGTCTTACTCATGCTTTTGACCAGGAGCCCCCTCTCCCACAAGATCTGCCGCATTCCTTTCAACTTTCCGACATGCTCGGCCGGCCGGAGATGCGGGGAGTGGAAGGGGGGGCGTCTCCCCTCCGGAACGTCAAGTGCTGTATCGTGCCCGCTGGGAGGTTCGGCGTGTCTTCGAGGATGGTCACGGGGTCCATCGGCGCAAGCTCATCTCCGTTCCTCACACCACCGACACCCAAGTTTATTCTCTTCACCGACTGTGCGACGGCCTCCATGCAATCATGCCAGGACGACCAGTCGAACAGGCCTACAGGCTTGTGCTCAGGGTAGAGAACTGTGGACACGTCGAGCACGTCTGCCATGTGGTCCAGCATCTTGAGCCCGGTCCAGTATCCCTCCTTGTTCTTGCCGTACTCGAAGAGGTGGTAGGACCAGTACCGTCCGTGCTCGTCTTTGTGCAGCATGTCGATAGGGCGGAACTTCTCGACTTTCACGTTTTCCCCCGGCCTCTTCGCGGCAACTGAGGCAGTGCATCGTTTCCTGCGGTTGCGCTCCGCCTCCTTGATCTGTTCCCGCGATGCCGAGAAAAAGCCGAGGTTGTGGATGATTGTCCCCGACACCATGATCCCCTGGCCTTGTGACTTCTTGACGGGCACGTGCTGGCCGTCCCGATACCACGCGTACCTCTGGTCGTCGTTGGCTGCAAAATCGAAAAGGACACCGATAATTTTGGGCGGCGGGTGTGGCATTGTCAACATCTCTGTGGTCACAGCCCCGAAATTATATTGAATTGCGTGCAAGATTATTATTCACGTCCGGAATAAATTTACAAATCAGTCGCGCCAACATTCTCTGTTTAAATTAAATAGACAAACCTCGAAATATGCTTTCGTCCTGGTAGAGAAGCATGGCCCGCCTCCCGTCGGGGTAGGTTTTCTTGCTCTGCACTCTGGCTTGCAGGTCTGCGGGTAAGTCTGCCAGCCCTGCCTCGAGATCATCGACACCAACCCAGACACCACAATCCGGCAAGCGCTCAGACTCCTCTCACCGCATAAACGCCNCGTCGGGGTAGGTTTTCTTGCTCTGCACTCTGGCTTGCAGGTCTGCGGGTAAGTCTGCCAGCCCTGCCTCGAGATCATCGACACCAACCCAGACACCACAATCCGGCAAGCGCTCAGACTCCTCTCACCGCATAAACGCCAATGCCCCAGGCGACCGCTTCCTCTTTGCCCATTGGAATCCACACCTCCATGTAGTCGCGGGTCTCGAACAGCGCCGGCAGGAACTCGTCGTGCCGGTACACTGGGGTCTTCTCGTCGTCGTGGACATCGAAGTATAGACCCTTTTTGCCGTCGTGGTATTCGCATCCCATCTTCTTCAGCCACTCTGTTGCCGTGGAAAGGGAGATTTGGTGCCTTGGCGGCTCGTTCTCTTCCACTAGGTTTATTCTCAATCCATGAAAAGGGTCGAAGTCCTCCGGTTGTTGCGCCTCCAGCATCGGCATGATGGTGCTGTTCACCCACTTGCGGAAATCCTCCACCGTCTTGTTGGCTTGCCCGCTGAGTATCCCGCAGTTCTCGAGCGCCCAGCCTTTCGCGAGCCTCGAGACGCCTTCGCCGAGTTCCAGCAATAACCGGCGCTTGGAGCGACCTGTGTCAGGTGGCTTGATACGTATGCGCGCGATGAAACCCCGCTCCCACAGCCGTACTGTTGGAACACTCCTCCGTCCAACCTCTGCTGCGATGGCCAGTGCATCCTTCCGGTCGACCCCGTTGAGCTGCTGGGTGTACAGCTGGATCAATGTCGTGGCCACCTGGACCATGTGCGCCAGCATGTAGTTGGACAAAACGCTCTCTGCCGTGTTGGTGTCCTGCGCAAAGGGGGGGTGCCGAGGGCGGCAATACATCTTTCCATTTTCAGTAGCCGATGTGTTTGACAGCAGTGTTTCTGACAGCAGTGTTTCGAGTGTATTATTTTTAGCTGAGAATGCAGGTTGGTCAATAAATTACTCTGGCGGTCGCAGCCGGAGCTCGGAGGGGGTGGTGGCGCCCTACAAACTCCGCCCCAACCAAGCCCTGTTGACAAATAAAACAGCAGTGCAAATCACAGAGTGTAGTTCTTGGCGCAGTCTCAACGCCCGCGCCCGCTCGGCAGCCCTCCCTAACGATCCAAAGAGTCGGCCGCCGTAGTCACGTCGTCCGCCCCAGTTTGGATCTCGCGATCTTCCCGCACCTTGCAAGACCAGGTTCTTGCAGTGAACCGATGGCCGGGGCTGCGGTTCTAACTACGCACTCCCGCGGAGGTGCGCTCTCCATAGGCGCATCGGATGAGCTCTTTTTTTGAAGGGCCTCCCAGTCAACAGCAGTGACATTGTCGAGGATGCTTCTCTCCGCGATGGCGTCGCGGCCGCGTGGCTTTCCAGACGTGATCCAGCCGCTCCGCCATTTCAACTCAGTGCTGTCGCCCGACCTCGCGTACAGCACTACACGATACTTTCGTGGCTTCTGTCTATCGATGCTGAGTGTATTGCGCAGCTTGAATCCGTCAGGAACTGGCTGCTGTGGGGCGGAGATTATCTCTTGCTCGAGCTCCATTCGGTTGCCGGTCTTCACAACAACATGTGTACACCTCCCATGTGCGGTGTCAGCTGCTCCCCAAACCAACGGTCGGGTCGCATTTTTTTTTTTCTTTCTTGATTTCGACCTGGAGCCCGGCAAAACCGGGTTCAGAACCAGGTGATCTAGAACCAACTTTTGGCGAGGATTCCACATTCCAAAAATGATCAACTCTTCTTTACATATGGTCTGTGCTGCCCACTGAGGGGAGAGATATAACCATACTCCCTGCCTACACACGGACGAGAGAGATGACCAACCCATTACATTTGAACACACGAACACCCACATATCGGTGATGGAACCTCAACCACACGCCTTACCTACGACCGACCACGTCAGGAGGCAATGATGAAAGAATGTTCTCCCGTGCCCTTCGCACATTTATGGGCATGAAATTACACAAAACTGGGAGACCACTCCCGTGTGCCGCACAATTTGACACAGATGCATGCATATGCATACCAAACTCAATTACTTACCAAATCATATTCCTCGCGTTAAATGCATACCAAACTGGAAATACACGTGTAAAATGGATGGAGATCCACAACCAACAGGGTGCCACACATAAAACACCCAACTAACTAACAGCCCAACACTTTTCGTCTACACCTTCCCAACATAACATATATAAGACACACAACACAGCTACCAAACTGTCTTGTTGAGCCTGTTATCCGCAGGGGAGATGTCCATATATGCTGTCTGGGAAATCGTGGACACACAACAGGTAGTTTTCTTTGACGCTATGATTCCATTGCTAATCTGTCTTTGACTCTTTTCTCTGACGGAAATGGACTCGTTGTGTTGTATTTGGA